CTCTATCTAAATAAATCACTTTCTGCAAACTCTGTTTGGGTTCCAGTATTTACGAGGGTCCGTGGTCTCCTCTCCCATTCTTGAGAGAGTGATAGATGGAGAACCTGAAGAAACATCTTCTCAGGGATGCTAAGGGCTCCCCTGAACCCCTGAACCCCAACAAAACTACCCCTCACAATACCTCTCAGAACACTGTAAAGCAAAAGTATGCACAAGACCAAAAGGCACGGTTTATTAAAATCTGATCAAAATCAGCCAGGTGCATTGGCTTATGCCTGTAATCCCAGCACTTTGGGAGGCCAAGGTGGGCGGATCACCTGAGGTCAGGAGTTCTAGACCAGCCTGGCCAACATAATTCCATCTCTACTAAAAACACAAAAATTAGCCAGGCGTGGTGGCAGATACCTGGGAGGCTGAGGCAGGAGAATCGTTTGAACCACGGAGGCAGAGGTTGCAGTGAGCCAAGATCGTGCCATTGCACTCCAGCCTGGTGGACAGCTGTGAGACTGAGTCTTAAAAAATAAATACAGCTGGGCGCAGTGGCTCACACCTGTAATCCCAGCATTTTGGGAGTCCATGGCAGGCGGATCACAAGGTCAGGAGATCAACATCAGGCTGGCCAATATGGCAAAATCCCATCTCTACTAAAAATACAAAAATTAGGCGTGGTGGTGGACACCTGTAATCCCAGCTACTTGGGAGATTGAGGCAGGAAAATCGCTTGAACCCAGGAGGTGGAGGTTGAGGCAGGAGAATCACTTGAACCCAGGAGGTGGAGGTTGCAGGGAGCCAGCATCATGCCAGTGCACTCCAGCCTGGGCAACAGAGCGAGATTCCATCTCAAAAATAATATTAATTAAACAAATAAAATAAAATCAGATCAAAATCAATTGTAGATTCTGAATGGAGGCCTCTGCTATAAGATTCTTCAAGTATAGACTCCAGCATATAATCTGGCTACCCCTTCTGGCTTTGGGCTCCACTTCTCTCTATGGGAGAAGGGTTCCCATAATGTGTGGCTGTGACCAAGGCGAGGAGTGGAACATTTCAGCAGCACTGAAGAGGAAACACAAACACTGAAGTGACAGTCTAAAGGACACGAGAAATACTGCACAGCAGGAACCGAAAAGAGCAAGATAAATTCTAAAATGAGTAAACCTTTGGATTTCTTACACTGAGCAGGACAGGGAAGTTAGAAAAGAGAAAGAAACTGCTGGCAGATAAATATGGCCACAGAGAAGTTCCAGAGGCAATAAAGGGAAAATGTGTGATCGATAGAAACTGAGGCAGTGTTAACCGGCTACAGTCTTCAGGATGAGGAAAACTATAACACAGCTGACAGTAAAACAAAAGACATCAAGATACACAATGCTTCTCTAATTCCCCATTTTAAAAGTACATGAAGGAGGTTCTCTAGCAAATACGTAGGATGAACAAGCTAAAAAAATCTAATGTACAACAAGAGGACTATAGTTAATAAATAGTACACTGTATTCAAGATCTTTGCTAAGTTATAGCTACTCTTGCCCCATAAGAAAAAAAATGGATAACTACGTGAGATGATAGGCATCTTCATTTGTTCTTCTCTAGTAACAATTTCACTATCTTATAACATCATGTTGTATACCTTATACATACACAGTAAAATTTACTTTAAAACAAAAGCAAAAAGGACACAAAGGAGTTTCTGAAAGTCACTAATCAAAAGCATCTCCATTACAGGAGTCATTTTGGGGTGATGTTCTGAGAACCAGATAATGTTAATATTAAACCATCTAACACAGTTGAACAAAAGAGTTGTTTTTGTGCAAACACAGGCATCCTAGATCAAAGGAACTGAATGGAAAGTCCAAAAACAGTGTTGTTATTTTAATGAACTTATTTGATAAAAGAGGTATCATATATAAATTCCTTCCTGCATGGACCTAGCAAATGGAACAGTGGGTTAGCAATTTTAGGGCTGGTGTGAGATAGGAATCTACACTAACTTCAGCTGGGTTGAATTCAGGGCTTTTGTTTATTTCTATGATTTGATTTTTTAAAAACTAATAGATGTTAAAAACTACTTGCAATGCCTTCATGACATCCCAAAGGTAAAGCCACTACCAGCCTACTAAAGCCACTGAGAGCTCAGAGAAGTACAGGTGTCAGTGTGCACTCTTCGTGGGTCATACTGGTCCCATTGGTCAGTGAGACCTGTCCTCGTCTGTGAGGCCTGCACCCCTCTGTGGTAGGTGTGGCATGCTAGCTCCCAATGGGAAAAGCAGTGCCTCTTCTGGTCAACTCCAATCTCCAGCCCCATGGCCCAGGCCTTTTCCATCCCCTGGACTGTGGTCTCCTACTACAGCCCAGGCTCAGTTCCTGCTAACACCCAGGGAGGAGCAGGGTTGAACAATAATGGCAATAACTTGCTCACCATAAAAGTAATTTTTAAAAAAAATCACATAAACAGATTATCTTCCAATGAGTACTGTACAAAAAGGGAGGAGGGGGAAAAGGGTAACTTGACAGTGGAAAAACCCAACAAACGCTACCTTGTGCCACGTGACCACGTTCAACATCGGTAGTGCTAAGTCACACTGGTATCGTAGACCTTTGCTATGATGTGACAAGAATAGCCCTTTCCATCTGAGGTCTTCCTCCCGAAAACACACGACCACAGTCAAATCATGAGAGGGGAAAAACAGACCAATCTCAACTGAGGGCCATTCTACAAAATAACAGACAGTAGTCCTCAAAACTATCAAGGTCACCAAAAACAAGGAGGGTCTGAGAGACTGTCACAGCCAAGAGGACCCTACCGAGGCGGAAAAACTAAATAAATCGGGATACTGTATGAACTGTAGCTAACAATAACGTATCCATATCGGGTCATTAATTGTGACATGTACCATGCTAACTTAGGATGTTAATAATGGGGAAAACCAGGTGTGCACTACACAGGCACACGCTCTCCTACCTCCTCAATAATTCTGGAAGTCTGAAACTGCTCCTAATTAATCGGTTAATCCCAATCACAATTACTTTTTGTAAAAAATCATATAAACATTAAACTTTTGGACAAAATAAAAAAGTATAATTCTAACATAAAGAAAAATTGTGGTCTGGGGAAAGTGTCTGTATGAAATATAACAAAAGATTAGGGTGTATATATAAAGTCCATAAGTATGCCAAGAGAAACATTCAGAAAAAAGCTACGAGACGAAAACTAGAAGTCATACAAAAGATGCAATGTGGCTTTTCAATCATTTTTAAAAATACTAAAACAGGCATCATTTAAGTTGTAAAACTGTTTTTTTCTTTTCTTTTTTTAAAGTACTTTTTTTTTTGAGACAGAGTCTCACTCTGTCGCCAGGCTGGAGTGCAGTGGCACGATCTCAGCCCACTGCAACCTCTGCCTCCTGGATTCAAGCGATTCTCCTGCCTCAACTTCCCAAATAGCTGGGACTACAGGCGTGTGCCACCATTCCCAGCTAATTTTTGTATTTTTAGTAGAGACGGGTTTCAACATATTGGTCAGGATGGTCTCGATCTCTTGACCTCGTGATCCGCCCGCCTCAGTCTCCCAAAATGCTGATTAATCCGTGAGCCACCACGCCTGGATGCAAAACTGTTTTTCAAATAATACCCAGTGATGATAATGGGTATTATTAAACCACTTTACTTACACAGCATTGGTAGCCAAGTAAATTGATAATACTCTTGTGGAAGTACTGTAAAACAAACTGTACTCCCAGCGCCCGCCTGTACATGCACATGTTAAAGCTCAAACCCCCAATGTGATGGAGATTAAAGATGGGGCCTTTGCGAGACAATCAGATTTAAATGAGGTCAGGAGAGTGGGGTCCTCAGGATGGGATTAACACCCTTATAAGAAAGACATCAGAGAGCTTTTGCTCTCACTCTCTCGACCATGTAAAGACATCTCAAGAAGGAGGCAGTCTGCAAGCCAAGAGGAGAGCCCCCACCAGAACCCCAACCATGCTGGCACCCTTTTCTCAGACTTCCAGCCTCCAAAATGGTGAGAAAATAAATTGTTGTTGGTTAAGCCACCCACGCTATTGTGTTTTGTTATACCAGCTTAAGTTAATTAATAAAGAAAGGCAATTAGAGACATATAAAGAACAATGAACATACTCATCTCTTTTAATTCAGTAATCCTACATTTGTAATGATAACCTTTGGACATAATTCAAAATATGACAAAGCTATACACATGTAAAAACTTAGTTTTATGTTTTTAAGCCAGTGACACCCTAAATGTCTAACAATGGAGAAGCAGATAAGTAAATTGTAATATTCCACTTCATCTAATATGATTTAGTCATTTACAATTACTACAAAAACTATATAGGCTTACAGTGAATGCTTTAATAAAATTAAGTGCAAACCAAACACGAAAATCTACAAAATGAGACCAATGATATAAATATGAACAAGTATTAAAAGAGTTAGCTATAAACAAATAATTTGTTGGAAAATATTTTGTCACAAGAAATCATACTCAGAAATGTATTTGAGAGTATTATTAGATCTTTTCTTAAACATAATCACATCCCTCTGTAATTATAGAAAAGTGATTTTTTTCTGAAAGTAGCCACTGCAGTACTCTCCAAAAAATGAGAATGAGCCAGGCGCAGTAGCTCACACTTATAATCCCAGCACACTTGGAGGCCGAGGCAGGCGGATCACCTGAGGTCAGGAGTTTGAGACCAGCCTGGCCAACATGACAAAACTCTGTCTCTACTAAAAATACATAAATTAGCCAGGTATGGCAGGCGCCTGTAATCCCAGCTACTTGGGAAGCTGAGGCAGAAGAATCACTTGAACCCAGGAGGCGGAGGTTGCAGTGAGCCGAGATTGTGCCATGCACTCCAGCCTGGGCAACAAGAGCAAAACTCCATCTCAAAGAAAAAAAAATGAGAATGAAATATGTACTTTTCATGTAAGACAACTATCATTTTTCTTTACTACATACTTTCTATTATGTTATTACTTACATTGAGATGGTTTCCAAGGCGTCTTCAAAAATGTCCTGGGGGAAACAAAAAATACAATGAGTTTCTCAAGAATTCTAAATGGAGAAGAGAAAGTGAATACACACAATGGGAAGGGCGGTCCTGGTGGGAAGGTACAGCGGACAGTAAAATCAATCAACATAATGCTCATGGAATTCTGTTTACAGAAATCAGGCACACGAATTTCAATGAGGTTTAATTTTTTTTTAATAATACTGGTAAAATACTCAGCAAGTGATGAAACTGGGCTAATTTACAGAGAATATGACGTCTTTTATGAAGTTACCTTTCACTCCTAGATCTCATTCGTCCCAATTATAGAGTACAATAACTAACAGCACTTGCCCGACGCAGGCTTTTCTTTCTCCATGGCTAGCCAAGTGAGCATCCTCTGGGCCTCCATTTCACATCTCATTGCACCACCCTCTCAGCTCGTCTCCCTATCACCAGCCTTTCCCCCAGTTTACTTGGTGCCACACAGAATAGCCCTTTGCTTCATGCCACACTGGCCTGATCACAGCTGCAACAGGAGAGAAACACACACACTTGTATGTACTCAGAAGTCCACACACGCACTCCACACTCAGACAGTGTCTCACACACAATCTCACAGTCACATGCACAAACACACATGCACTCACTCAAAAACTCACACATACACAACAGCTCCCTCATAGCTGCAAAAATCAACCCTAAGCTCCTCATTCAAGTATCTGGGGGCCACCATAACCCAGCCTACTCTTCCAAGCATCCTTCTCCAATACCCCTACCACCCTCACAGTAGCCCAAACCCTGGGGACTCCGCAAGGGCCGCCTCACTGGTGTCCCTACTCCTGTGCTTGACATCCTCCATTCAATTCTTTACATGGCAACCATATCATTCTTTTACTTCTTGTCTTCAAATAAGCATACACCATTCCAGTTTTCTAGGCCTCTTTGAGAGCTTTCCATTGCACTTAGAAAAATCCCAAACTCATTCTCCCTATCTAGAGAGCCCTAAAACAGCCCCGCCAGCCTCTGACCACATCCCCGCCCACCTTCCCCTTACTCACGCCACTCCAGCCACAGGTCTGTCTTTCTGTTCCTTGGACAAGTCAAACATCCCACAGCTCTCTGCACTGTCCCCTTTCTTACAATGTCCTTTGCTCAATTATTCCCATGGCTGATTCCTTCTCATCCTTTGGTTTTCAGTTTAAAAATCTACCTCCTCAAGAAGACCATCTCTGATCACCCTAATTAAAATTACTAGGAATAGCAGCTTACAGTTCCTCACCATCTTATTTGTTTCATTCATAGCAATTATCATAATCTCTAACGATCTTCTTTGTTTACTTGGTTACCGTCTGTCTTCATCAGAGCAGGCTCTTACACGTGTACACGCACGCACGCATACACACACACACACACAACAGGGCTTGGTATCAAGGTTTGCTCAGTAAATACTTGCTGCCTCATGAATGAACGAATATGTACGAATGGAATGTATGAATGGAACCTGGATTGCCAAGGAGCTTACCATGTCACACCTCTTTTAGAGTTATGCACAGAAATGAAGAAAGGGGGCTAGAGATCTTTTCCTTTGTGTAGCCATTAGTACTGAACAGTGTTTGGACCATACTGGATTTTGCAGTGAGGCAGAAAAAACAGAAGTATAAACACTAAAAAGAAGAACTGGCTGGGCATGGTGGCTCATGCCCATAATCCCAGCACTTTGGGAGGCCAAGGCTGGTGGATCACCTGAGGTCAGAAGTTCAAGACCAGCCTGGCCAACATGGTGAAACCCCGTTCCTACTAAAAATACAAAAATCAGCCAGGTGTGGTGGTGCATGCCTGTAATCCCAGCTACCTGGGGAGGCTGAGGCACAAGAATCACTTGAACCCAAGAGGCGGAGGTTGCAGTGAGTCAAGATCATGCCACTGCACTCCAACCTACATGACAGAGTGAGACTCCATGTCAAAGAAAAAGAGCCAACATTGTAAACAATGGCAGAGCTGAGTTTGAATTTGGGACCCTGACCTATATTAATCTACATTAATATCACACACTGTAAGGAAGGTAAAATCAAGGGCTGGCACACAGGTTATCACGTGAGTAGTTACAGAGAAGGGAGGAAAATGTGTTCTCCAGTAACCCAAGTCTCACTATGAATAAGCCCAGCTCACAGTCCCTCTGGCAGCTCTGCTGACGCTCTCTGCACTTACCTTTAACAACAAAGGGGTACATGGACAGTCCACTCCCAGAAGGCTTCTGCGCCTTCTCCTCCTCACAAACCTCCACATGGACACTAAAATACTTACTGACTGAGCTCCACAAAGGACAACCTGGGAAGCCAGCCCTCCGTGTAAAGGAGACAAGACTAATATTTTCATCTCAACAAAAAGTAGTCCCACCCCTCCATCAAAAAAAAGAAAAAGAAATAAAGAAAAGAATATCAAGCCAGGTATGGTGGTGTACACTCATAGTCCCAGCTACTCGGGAGGCTGAGGTAGAAAGATGGCTTGAGCCCAGGACTTCAGCCTGGACGATATAGCGAAACCCTGTATCTAATAACTTTTTAATTTTAAAAAACATCAAGAATATCAAAACTCTCCATTTTGTTGAAACAGTAATCACATGGAGAGAGTTCTCTAAACAAAGCATACTTGGTCTACAAAGGCCAGACAAAAGGTGGAAGTTCCTTAATTTTCAAAAGAGGAAAGGTGAAGAGAAAAACTAAGATTTGCTGAGTACCTGTCACGTGCCAGGCACCTCATAACCTTACAAAGCCGCCTCATTTGTTCCTCCCAACACACAGCAAGTTAATCCAGTTGTAGTTTAATCACCTGCCCATCATCACACAGCTGGTAATTGAAGAAACTGGGCTTCCATCTCAGGTTTAATTCCAAAGCATTTCATTAATGTTAATAATAACTATCCAAAACTTGGAAATTAAGACAGTTGGGCAGGATGGGGAGGGGGTGGGAGATAAGGGGGGGGCGCATATCCTCTCAATGTCATGTGATAGCATTGCTTTACAAGCCTCCCAAGAATGATTTAACTCTCTAGAAGGGTGTACTTGTGTTTAATTTTGCCATCTGCTGTCTGGAGTCTGCACACTGTGAAATTACATGTTAACTTACATATAACTAACATGTAACTAACATGTTACATGTTAACTTTTTCACCACTAAAAAACTTACAGGTTTTTTAGTGGTGAAAAAAATTACCTCAAAGATGATGATTTTGTTGCTCTGTGAAACAGCAGTTCCCAACCTTTTTGGTACCAGGGACTGGTTTCATGGAAGACAGTTTTTCCACAGATGGGAGAGGGCAGTGAGGAAATGGTTTCAGGATGAAACTGTTCCACCTCAGATCATCAGGCATTAGATTCTCATAAGGGGCGTGCAACCTAGATCCTTCACATAAGCAGTTCCCAGTAGGGTTCGCACTCCTGTGAGAGTCTAATGCCACCACTGATCTGACAGGAGGTGGAGCTGAGGTGGTAATGCTCGCCTGCCCACCAGCCACTCACCTCCTGCTGTACAGCCCAGTTCCTCACAGGCTACAGACCTCACAGGCACGGGGGACCCCTGCTTTAAGGTATTATCCACCTTTACGCATAACCTAGCAATCTTAATCTAACGTTGTTCCTTAAACCTATAAATACTAGTTCCTCAAATACTGTTTGGGTCAATTTACCATTTCACTGGTTTCCTAATTGGTGAATGAAATAAAATTTTTGAGATGTTCATTTTATATCTTTATGAGAGTCATATTTCCAATTCTGGGAAATTATATTTGGACAATGGATATCACTAACCACTCCTTCCCTGCAAATACAGGGCCTGCAAATACAATTTCCTGCATCCTTGGGAAAAGTGATGTGGGGTCCACATGGAGGATGAAAACACCAAAAGGCCAAGACTGCTCATGCCTCTGTTCCATATCCCTATAGACCAGTGCTTCCTTTTCCTCCTGTCTGTCTAGGTCCCCACACTCGGCTCAAATTCTATCCCTTTTCTGCTGCTGCCTCAGGGAGCTCCTTTTCCTTGTGTGAGATTCCTATCAGGGCCCTTAGGTTTGGCACTGGCTGCTATTCCACAGTCTCCCACCTGGCCCTCGGTAGACACACACATATATTCTTCATGCAGCATGACTAGATATTTCGACCAAAGTCTCTTTGCTTCTTCATTCTCACCATCAATTTCCCAGTGCTCCTCCAGTACTTCCCTTAGCTCCCCAGTACTGGCAGGCTCACCACGTGCTCTCCGGTTACAACAGGCACAGTCAGAGGAGCATCCAGACTCCTTCTGTCATAAGGAAAGTACGACAGGAGAGCTCACACTGCCGACGAATATAACGTGTTCACAGGAATGTCCTGGTGTTTAGTTGCCTCCTTGAAGGCAGCTGCATTTGCCTGCCCCACTCCCATGCCAGGGGCAGACTTGAAGTGCTACTACTGTCGGGTCTGGCGTGACAAATGTTTTCACTGAACCACACCTGGCTCCTAATCATACACTGCCTCGAAACAGTATCTAACTTTCCCAAGAGCCTATCTTGACTCTCTAGTTGGAGTCAAGGGCCATTCCACTCTTTATGAATCTATTTTCTAGCCCAGCACAGTACTCTGTACTTCATGGACTCTTCGCAAATCATGGTTAGCTAACTGGCTGGCTGAGCACCCTTGTCTTCAGGTGGAAGGTCCTTACTCTGAGCAGTTTCATTTTGCACATTAGAAAACGAGCTGATCTGTTAGGTGAAGGATTTCCTAGGTGGGCCGACAGATGTAAGGCCAGCACCCAGGGCCTGCTCCCTGCTGGGAGATCAGCCTGAAACCTACCTCTGCCTCCAGATCATAGAAACTGCCACCCTGAGCATAGAACTGACACAGAGTGAGGAAAGTTGATGGGTGCTACATCACCTACTAACGCTTTTCCAAACAGTTTCTATCTTAACTCGTTAACTTTGTCATATTCTGAGTAGCAAAAATGCATGAAAGTACATTTGAGTGACAGAGCAGGTTCTTGAAGTTCATTTAAGAATCTTAATGAGATATTAATGACAAAAGTGTTTACATTATTTTTATCTCTAAAGAGCAAAGAGTAAAGAAGACAAATATGCTATTAACAGTAGTAATTTCAATACTCTGCATTAATTTCCAAAGAGACCAAAGAGATTTACAAATTCTTCAGGCCTCCTCATCTGATTTTTAATTCACTTTGTGGTCTGAAAAGGAATATGCGGCAAATATTACTCCAAGAAGGAAAGGCAAGTAGGAAGTAACATGACAAAAATTAACACCAGCTACTGTAAATCCACAAAGTTGAATCGCTTCTCTACAACTCCCTGTTCCTCTCTCCCCTTCCCACCTCCCCATTCCTCCTCTTCACCCTCAGCCCTGTCCTCTATTTTACCCTCTTTCTCATAGGGATGACTTCACAGGCCTAAGAACAGATGGTACCATGCTCTCATTTAACCACTGCACTTTAGCAAAGATGACAAGGTTTGAGAGGGTTTGCAGATTCCTTCCTCCTCAATGAAGACCACCTGCCCACCCTCACAGAACCAGGCCCTCCTGACTGGAGCTTTCCCACCCAACATTCCATTCCACTGACCAATGAAGCTGTGTGTTTGATATCACAGACTCAATGCTAGAACTGCTGAGAACTCTGGCAAGTCATGAATTCTTTGGCGGCACAGCTGGACCATTCCTATGGAGATGAGACATGAAGAGGATGCTCCAACTTCCCCCAGGACTGAGGCAGGGATTAAGAGCCATGGGTATTGGGGTTCTAAGGAATACAAACACATGTCTGTGGTGTACACCCCTGTAAATCAAGATGTCCAAAATGAAACCAGACTGACATCGGAAGCATTATCATAGTGACTAACACACCTGGAAGGATTCCTCAAATACTGAATTTCTCTCATAAACAGCACGTTGCTAGTTAAAGGAATCATATGAGAAATGCATAAACCTACGTCACAACATTCCTTATTAAAACCTGAATAAAGTATTGGTTTTTCTAAGTCAGAATTAATTTAAAATATACCTTTATTACTGTGCAAAAATCATTTAAAAAACATATATGTACCCTGAGCTCATCTGTCAGGAATAATTTTTCATTCTGCTTACATCTGTCATACAATTCTCTGTAATCTATTTGTCAAGCTCAAAAAGTAGCCCATGGCCTTCAACAGCATTTAAACTCTCCGACTAAATCCCAAGGGCTACCAACCAGCTGCATCTTATCTGCAGTGGCACATTTTTTTTTTAAATTGCATATTGCATGAGAAAGCATCAATATTCTTTGAAGGCAAATGTAAAAATCAGCTTCAGCTACCCCATAACTGGGTTTGCAGGGGATAAGCACCCCTCAGGCCCTCCTTAAAGGGTTAGCCTCAAAGCAAGTCCTTTGTGAAACCTTAACTGACCTACAGAACTCTCAATCAAATGGAAAGAAAGCAAGAGGCGCCCACACAACAGACACTCACATTCCAGGTCCCCCCCGTATCGACTGTTGTTGGTCCTTGCAGGAAACAAAACATGACCTTCTCAAATTTCAAATATCACACTATGGCAATTCTCAAATATGGCAGACCAACACAAAACAGGAAAACAAAAACTAATCCCAAGTTTATCTTCTTAATTTGTCCAGGTTTGTTAAATTCCAGGCAAGACTTTTTTTTAGAATTTTTTTGTACAGACTTAGTAAAAAACTGGAGGTTTTCAAACATTTTTTCAGAAATAGGGATTTCAAAAAAATTAACAATACAGCAGTAAAATCATCTGCCAAAACATAAAGTTCATGCTTTAGAAATTTTTAAACATTCACCACTTGAGATTAAAAATAATTTTCCATATTCTCCAGTGGTGGGATTAATATAGTTCTCTAGTTGCTCTTGTACTGGGTAAGTGCTCTCATACAATTCCACGTAAGTTCTGTGTTTATTTATTTATTTATTTTCCAAAACAGAGTTTTACTCTTGTTGCCCAGGCTGGAGTGCAATGGCATGATCTTGGGTCACTGCAACCTCCACCTCCTGGGTTCAAGTGATTCTCCTGCCTCAGCCTCCTGAGTAGCTGGGATTACAGGGATGCACCACCACGCCAGCTAATTTTGTATTTTTAGTACAGTCAGGGTTTTTCCATGTTGGTCAGGCTGGTCTTGAACTCCTGACCTCAGGAGATCTGCCTGCCTCGGCCTCCCAAAGTGGTAGATTACAGGTGTGACCCACTGCACCTGGCCAGTTCTATGTCCTTTTGTTTTGCTTTGTTTCTCTAGACCTTAGAATTGATCAAGTAAGATTCTGTTTTTTAAAGATTCATTTTTACCAAAAATCACAGATCTAATAGTAGAAACTGGGAATATGGAGTAACAGGAATTTAAAGGGAAAGATTACTTTCTATACATTTGGGAACTACCAGCATCAATATGCCAAGCGCTAGTGAAAACTGCAACAAAAGAGTCCTTACTTTAAGAAACTTACAGTCTCCTGGGGGAAGGAGAATAATGATGAAACCACCAAGTAAAGGGACCTTACTTTATCAGGAGACGGAGGGAGGGAAGACATGAGGAGCTTGGTGGGGAAGGAATTAGGCAGGGGGAAATGTGTAAGGTAAGGCTCCGAGGCAGAAAAAGAGTTTACTACGGTCATGTTGACTACAGTTGTAAGAACAATAATGCCCACAGAGCTCACTATTATGGATTAAGGGAGCAGAGGAGAAACAGAAGATGGTCCATCTTCACCGTGTTTATAAAGTGCTAGTAATTAAGCAGCCAAAAAGTGATCTACACACAATGCCTTGAAGATCTTTTTTTTGAAAAAATTTAAAAAGATCTCAGGAATATGGGAGAGTTTTTAATGTCACATTTGTAAGAAACAAATGCTGTTATATAAATACCATGAAACGATGACTGACTAAGCAAGGTGCCCTCCGGAAGCAGTAGTTTGCTATTTATTAAGGGACCTGTGACTTGACTTCAACTGTTACTATGTGGAAAAATTTAAGAAATTTAAGAAGTTATTAGTAGGACACCTCACTTTGTCGACAAAGGTCCTTTGGATTTGGCGGCAGGGTTATAAGGAACTGGAAGAACGGAATGGGTAAAGTGCACCTGCCTGGCTCACTATTCAGTTTATCAAGTTCAGCACAGGAGGGCCAGATGCAGCACGAGTGTGCTTCAGGCCTGCTGTTCATCCATTCTCTCCTCCTTTTTCTTCCCTAGTACCTTACGAAAGATAGAAAACCCTTTTTCCTCTTCCATTCTGGTGTTACCGTCTGTAAACTGGAGATGCCCATGGTACCTACCCTAAGAAGCTGTTGGGAGGACCAAAGGAGATCAGAGGGGAAAGTGCGTGGCACAGAGCCAGCACCCGTTAAGGTAGTCACGACTTGACGACATGAGCCCTCGCTCCTCTCACAAGCACAAAACGCTCCTGGATGTGTCCACATAGTCACAATATAAAGTCCATGTCATGTGCTCAAGTGTCTAGGAAGCAAGTTTGCCTCTACTCCGTAAGTACTACCCACTATAAATAAATACATGTGTGATTTTAATTAACAGCCTGTGTAGTGGCGTGGAAAGCATCAATTTAGGCTCGGAGGTTAGGCCTGTCTGGGACTGAATTCTGGCTCCACTTCTGACCCTAGGGGAGTCTAGCCCTTTCAATCCTCTACCTCCTGTTGTGTACAATAAAGATTCCAACCGCCTCCTGGGACTGTAAGGATGTGAGATGATGCATAGAACAGGTCCAGCTTAAAACAGGCTCAATAAATAGAACTTCATAGGAAATTAAAGTCTCAGATATGGGACCAATCAGTAGACTCGGGAGATGGGGCTGGGATCCCTAACTGTACTTCCTCAACAATTTTTTTTCCACATCAAAGATGCTGAGCTTCTTTTGAATGAGAGAAAAGCCAGGTGTGGGAATATTTACAGCAAATAGGTCGTGAAAATGTTAGCTGCCTTTGCCCTCTAGCCTTTCACTCTCAGACCTTTCTTACTCAGTGGGCTGCCCAGCATAAAAAACATAATTTCTGAGCAAGAGCCCAATGTCACACTTCTCCCTGGTGGCACAAAACCCATAAATTATGGAATCTCTTCTCACCAAGGAGCTGGTGACCTTGGCCAACACAGGGAGAACTTGGCCAACATGGTGAGACCCTGGCTAAAATGGTGAGACCCTGGCTAAAATGGTAAGACCTTGGCCAATACAATGAGACCTTGGCCAACATGGCGAGACCTTGGCCAACACGGTGAGACCTTGGCCAACACGGTGAGACCTTGCCCAACACGGGGAGACATTGCCTAACACGGGGAGACCTTGCCTAACACGGGGAGACCTTGGCCAACACGGGGAGACCTTGGCCAACACGGGGAGACCT